AAAGGAAACAATTCTGAATTAGACAACAATCAGATGGGAAGCAAGTCTGAATCTGACAAGCATTCCAGAGGAAATAATAATTCAGAAAGTTTGAAGCATGTAGAAAATTTCAAGTTGAAAGATGAGAAACATCCTGTTATTAAGACACCATCTGACAAGAAACTACCAGTTGACACCACTGCATCGTACAAGAAACATTCAGCTGCTAAGACTCCATCTGACAAGAAGCAGATGATTACCAACACTTCACCACACAAGAGACAACATATTGCCAAGGTAACATCAGACAAGAAAGATCATATTAACCAGACTGCATCCGACAAGAAAAAAGCAGTGGTTAAGACTTCATCAGATGAGAAACATTGTGTTGACAAAACTGCCTCAAACAAGAAATATCCAGTTGATAGTTCTGCCTCAGAGAAGAAAATTCGTGTTAACACAGTTGACTCAGACAAGAAACATCCAGTCATTAAAAGTGCCTCAGACAAGACACAGCCTGCTACCAAGACTGCCTCAAAGAAGAAGTGTGTATCTGACAATGATCCTTCAGTAAACAAGAATAATGGACAGCATGACATGAAGTCACCCAAAGGTATGACTGATGGTGACAAGAAGCAGCAGGTAGGCGAAACACAGTCAAGACATGATCAGATTCATCAGTCAAACATGGAACAATCCACTGACAAGGACCAGTCCGAGGGCAAACAAGCATTTTGCACAACTGGGTTGAATAACAAGCAGAGTGGAGGGAAAAGTCAGACACAAAGAACTAAATCAATTGATAACTGTTCTGGAAGGTACTTAAGTGGGAACAGTAGACCAAAAACGAAAAAACAAATTGTTGGGTACATGCATAGAAAAGATGTTACACTTGGTTCAGATCCACAAAACTATGATTTCAACAGAAGACAGAGACGTGGATTTAAGAACACAAGGAAACCTATTCTGAAACATTTTGGAGATGATTATTCAGAAGTTGGAGCTAGGAATTGTGATAGAACTGGAAATATGTTTAAGGGAAAGAACACTGTTCACAAGCGGGTTAGGTTTCATGATTTGTATCAGGTCAAAGAAGATGATGAAGACAATGAAGATGAGAATATCAATGTAAATCCAAAGGCCGGGGATGTTCTACATAAGTCTCACATGAATGACATCAGAACCGGTCAGTGGACATGTTGTGACAGAGCTAATCAACTCGCTATGATGCGTGTAGAAGGTGGTCTTCCACTCCTGACAAGAATGCGATTTGTCACCAGTAGGAATAGACTTACTCGCCAGAAACAGATAAATAACGATGAAGACACTAGTATCAGTGGATGGAAAGATGGTGAAACAGCTGTTCCTGGTGACACACTTGGAAGAGACCTGTCTTTTGATGCCATGGCTCAGAAGAAATGGACACCACCCGATGTGGGCATCTGCTTTTATGATGACAGAAGTTTAGCCGCTGTTAGTAAAGAGGGCCCTGCCAATGAAGACGGAACGCATTCAGTTATGGGAGGGGTGCAGTTTGTCACTCCCTTTACAAAGAGGACGCATCAAAGACGAAATGTGCTGAAAAGGGACATCGGATTGGGTAGGGAGGAAAACTAGTAAAGACACTGTCAACAGAACTGCCACAGGTGAAAGCGGCTGTCCAGTAATGGGTAGGTTGCACTTTGTCTCTTCTGTTGACAAAATGAAAAACAGAAACAGTTAAGTGAGGACAAGGATGCCATCTTCCATGTGGATAGACAAGTAGGTGCTGTTCACACTGCCCCTAATGTTAAAGAAAGTGGGTATGTATTTGCTAGAGGAAACTTTGTCACTTCCATGAATAAATTGACTGGTCAGAAACAGATGAGGGATAAAGACTTGGACCTTCATGGGGACAGAGATGAAGGAACTTTCAACAATGAGGCTACCATGGTAGATACAGGTGGTCATTCACTTTTTGGAGGCCTGCGCTTTGTCCCTAGTGTTAATAAGATGACTCAAGAAAAATGGAAGTCACAGCATAAGGACACCAGTTTAAATGGGAAAAGAAGGGTACAATCTGTTCACAAGGAACATGTCCCAGCTGATGAAGGTGGTTCTGCTCTGTTGGAAGATTTGCAGCATGTCACTTCCATGTTTGAAATGGCCTGGCAGAAACAAACAGATGAAACTGAAGCCAATGACTCCAATGCATCTAACCAGAAAGATGTAATAACAGCTGAAGAAGACAATCATCATGTTTCTTCAGGACTGTGCTCACCCCAACATCTTGATAACATAGCTGGACTTGACACAATCTCCAGCCCTGAGTGGACTGAGGGTGGAATTCTTAGCACAGATGTTGGCCCTGAAAATGATGACCTTCTTACTGGAGGACTGGATTTTGTCACCACTGTTGATGCAGTGACCCAACACACACAAAACTGTGACGCTGATCAAAGAGATTGTAAGACTGAACACAAATTCTCAACTTCAGGTAATGAAGATGGTCATCTTGATCTTGAAGGATTTCGCTTTGACTCTGACAGCGACAGTGTCTCGAGTCAAGCCACGGAGACAAGTTTCCTGAACATCTCAGAAACTGGCGATGATGGTGATGAGTTGGTGGATGGGGACATGGTGCTGAGGTTTGTGGTGGATGACAGTGTTATCACTCCACAAAGGTACCAGCGGGAAGGGATCAGCTGCTCCTTTGACTCAGTGGACATTAACATGTTTTCAGCCAATGAAGCTTATGATGATAACGAGTCTATCTACGTAGACTCCCTGTGTGATCAGACAGATCCATGTACCAGGCAGGGCTATACAGAGGAGTTCAAAGACTCACTAGATATGAGCGACTACAGCTACAGTGACGTTGATGCAAGGCATGAGCAGGAAGGTGTTAAAGATGTTATTGTTTCAGAGGTAGGATGACAGTGTTTATAGATTTATCCATATTAAAACTGTTACTACTTTGTAACCAAAGCAAAGCACAGTTAAAATAATATGTGGAGATTATTTACTGACAAAGACTTACTTGAAAATTTCATTTCTGCAAGGTCAACCATATCGATTCAAACAGGTCTGTAAGAAAGTAGAAATTTGAAGTGGTCGTTCTAAACAAGTGAAATACATGTATGACAATACAAAGCTGCAGCCTGGCCAAATTTACAGGTCCGTGACTCAAAATGTCCACAAACATGTTTCATTCTGACAAGTCTGTCTTTAAAACAGCGTAACAACTTTATTTTCATGTCATGTTTTTTTTTCTGTTTCAACCAACTAACAATAACTTTTAATGTACAATCTTTAGAAACTTCTTAAAATTAATATTTTAGTTTTAATTTTCCTTCTGTTAAATATGGCCTAAACATGTATTTCATGCTTGAGCCAATCCTCTGAAGGGATGAGATCATTAGTCAGTTACAGATGCTTCAGTATGCATTATTGTTCATAGGCTCCTGGTTAGCAATACCTGCCACAGTTAGATATATATAACAATCTATTTAACTCTGTCTCACCCGACCACACCCTGTGTGTGACTGATCTGATGAGTGTTGTGTTTGAGACAATTGTGTCAAGAGACATGGGAGGACGTAGGGTGTTCCTGTTTACACACCCACACAGTGGTGTAGAAATGCCAGGCTATTTGTAGAACAGTGGTAAACCTAACCACTACATAGCAAGGAATTAATATGAACAAGTCACTTCAAAATATTGTGAGAAGGAAATTTGGTGCCTATTGCCATCATGGGTTTGTTGATATTTAGATTTGGTTTCAATTCTGATTTAATTAGAAACGGCATAAAAGTGGTATATGATCTATATTTGGAGCAAATGAACTAGAAAGCCTTTGATACCCAGTGTTCAAATTCAAGGAAATAAATTCTTATTGTCCTTAAATTAAAAATTAATGAAAATTAGGCAACAAAAGCATTGAGGATAGCCTTTTCATTTCTAAAAGTGCTACATTTTCACCACAAAATGTCAAGAGTGATGTCTGTTCTGCAGGTTGTTATTGAAGTATTCTAACATTCCAAACTTGAAATGATTATGTTTGCATATATAGAAAACATCTGTTGTGAATGGTTCCAAGTATTTGCCATCAACCTGTGCACTGATGTCTCAAAACAGTGATCAATATGTGTTATGTGTTTAACGGTTGATGTGAAGCCATGTTGTCTGGCCTGCACCTACAGCTCATGTTTATTGACTTCATGAGACGTCACCGTGACATAGTCAGGGATCACTTCATTGGATGTGTTGTCTGTTTTTATAGCTTGCATCTAGCACTGCCCTCCATTCGTTTTGTGATGATATGTTGTAATGATTAATGATATGCTGGCGATCTAACATATTGATCTTGGTGAATTTGTATTATCTTGAAATATCAATTTTGCCAATGACGCCTATGACAGTGAATAGAAGCATGACTGTTTATATGTCAGGGTGTACCAATATGGCAAATGAATCATACCACAATGTGATATTTATGTAACTGCCCTTAGATACGGAGGATTTCCTTTATAAAGTTGGCATCTTCAGTACCTATACTTCTAATATTTGTTTGAGACTCAAGGAATACACCATTGGTTTGACACAGAAATACAGGGTAACAATTAGCGATGTCATGATTCCTACAAAACATACTACATACTTACTTGTATTGATTCATATTTTATTCCTGCATTGTTTCAAATATGAAATTGGGATATGATCACATGCATCAACCAAGTCAGTAAGGCTGATCACCCCAATCCTGTTAATTGCCTATTAACGACAAGTATGGGTTGCTTAAGATCAGTTCTAACACAGATCTGGTCAGGTTTCACATATGTCTGACAATCTTACGTGTACCGGTATATATGAATAGGATGAGACAGCTATATACCCCAATGGAAAGCACAGCTTTACATGAAATTATGTTTGAAGCAATTTTTCTTGCAATTTTATTAATACATTTTGTGAAAGAAGACATGTTATTGTTCAGAGGATGGAAAATGTTTCATGTATATTTATCGATACATTTTTGTTTGCAGGCCAAACTGAGAGCTTCACTGTCATGGATTTTACATAAGGCATATCGGGGGATTCCATACCAGCTGAGTTCAAGGATCCGTTTTACGAAACAGATCAGGTATGCCTTGAACTTGATATAATTTACACATCACTCAACAAGCAAAAAAAAGACAATGAAAAAACCTTTCAGATTTAAGATATTGTTGTATGCTTTGATCAGTTCTTTTGACTTCCCACCTTCACTGGCACAACACATGAGTGTAATTTGTTGTATTCAGTTGAATCCCTTGGCGTTGCCAGGATCTGTTAATTCACGTTCAACCTGACGATGATTATTCAGCCGCCCTCTACTCAGACTTGATGGTTTGACCAAAGTGGAGAATATCCTCAACCCTTATCACTTTGGTCTTTCTCTCCCCTTATGCCAAGACGCCATAAAACAGTTTTAATGTAGTCCAAAACAGTCTTGAACCTAATTTCATCATGCTCACTGGATTTTTTATTACAGTCCAGTGAGTGGATAAGTTGTGCAAAATCTTATATATAGGTCCCATCAAACGTTTAGACCCACTTAAAACACTCACTATATGTTATGTATATACATGTGGTTACATCGAAGATTGATTTCTCCACTAACTTAGGCGAACCAGCTGCAAACCTTATGCAGATGAATTGCACAAGGATCATGCATCAAAGTGCTGAAAAGCATGTGCAAATATCGTGCATGTGAACAGCTGCCTTCTGGTGTAAAGTTTTGTTAAAAATTTGCCAATTTTCACTGATTTTTATTATTTATTGAACTCATGACAATAATCTTTCCAATGTTATATTTACACTAGTGAGTCTAAACTTTTGATGGGAAGTATATCATTGCTCTCAGGATGTTATTGAAAAGGCTTGATGCCTTTACCTAAAATATAACTGTAGACAGTGTGTGAGAAATGGGTGCCAACCTGGTCACAATATGCTGGCTATATCTTTGTTGATGTAATTGAAAATTTGGTATCCGTAGCCTGACTGACTAGCTTATCTTGTGAGTCATCATGCTTCACCTATCTGTAGGTCCTTTATGTCAGCTTGCTTGTTTGTGATTACATTGATTTCTTGCGTCAGATAGTTGCAAAGAAGTTCGTTGATAGGATTACATTGAACTTAATTTCTTTCAAGTCAGCTTGTTGCACCATGTAGAGATTGATTCATATGTTGGACACATGCATTAATGAAAGGCAACTGTGGTTTTAAGAGCAGAAGATTAAGTTTCTTCTGTTAGTGAAGATGGGTGAATGACCTTTCTATGATCTGGCTGTAGAGATGTTGTCAGTCATGATGCTCTCTCCTGATCATCCCAGTCTTGCATGCCGCTGTGTGTGTATGGTTTTTATTGCCACACTCAGCAGTGTTCCAGCTACGTGACAGCAGATTGTGAATAATGGAGTCTCAACCAAACAATCCAGTTATTGATCGTTAACAAAACATGCAATCAGGGTAAAATAAGACACAATTAATCAGTCAGACCTCTTAATCCATTTGGTTTCCTCGTGTATCCAGCAATAGATGCTAGGAACCAATTCTCATCCATATTGTCCATGGGGCTTCTGTGGAAAATGCTGACAGAATGTACCCGTGAAGATCCGGGGGTAGAATAGGTCTTCAGCAACCCATGCTTGCCACAAAAGGCGACTATGCCTGTCGTAAGAGGCGACTAACGGGATCTGGTGGTCAGGCCCGCTGACTTGGTTGCCACATGTCATCGGTTCCCAATTGCGCAGATCGATGCTCATGCTGTTGATCACTGGATTGTGTGGTCCAGACTCTATTATTTACAGACCGCCGCCATATAGCTGGAATATTGCTGAGTGCGGCGTAAAACTTAACTCACTCACGCTGACAGAATGTCGAGTACAGCAAGATATGTGCTACTATCTAATGACTGTTCCTTTGTATGTTGTTTAAGTAATATATTTGTGTTATGAATTTTCAGGGAACATGGCAGATCAAACCACACCTTGTTCGCCTCCTGACATCCAGCGAGATTTACTGTCAAGCATGCACCAATATGTTTCCCAACACATCGTCACAGTGGCAAGGTCAGAGAAACTCATTCAGTGCTCTCCTAGATTCAATGTTGTTCAATTCATTTAATGTTCTGATTATCCTTCTTCAGGGTTTGAAATTGAGGTTGGTCCTTGAGATTGCTCCTTTTGTATTTGAATCTAGGGATCCTCTCAGTCTTCAACTTTGGCTATAGGAATATAACAAGGACCCCTTGACGTTCATGCTTAATTTCAGTGTTCTAGTTGTTTGTCATCAGCATGCCAACATGTGATAGAGGATTTCACCAAACTGATAAATGTCTCCTCCCTCAAGTATCAGTAATGAAAATGTCAAGTCGTGCTGAAACCATGGAATGTAATTTGTTAATGAATTATGACCATAAAATGTATTTGACTGTGAATGTTGTGCAGGTCACTGGAGTATCATCCAGGTGCTGTCTCGGAAAGGCATCTATGTAACTGGCTCAGATGACACCACCGTCACGGAAACTGTCCTCATTCAGACAGCCCCATTCAATATGGTAAGTAGTTTTATACATACACTCTCTGTCAGGTTGCACAATTGGCATGATCATAAGTAAAGCTTTGCTTGTTATAAGTGTCAACTAGAATTGATTTGTTGATCAAGATTAGTGAGTTCATTTGATATTGATCATAACATTAACCATGTGTTGTCTAATTGCCCTAATATGGGCAGATTATTGTTGTCTGTGATGTATTACAACAAACAAACCATACAAACACACGTCAGTCATCCCCTGTCTAATTTTATATTGGAAATACTTTATATGAATTACATAAGCAGGTTGTGTATTCCATGAAACAAACATTAAGTTCTTTCTTCAGGATGCCCATGTGTCATTGATGACATCACTGATGGCGGCGTACATGTGTGAACAGGTCACAGTAGAAAGGGTTGTGCAGGCAGTAAGGTATGTAACTCAGATGCAAAATGAACACAGTTCTACTTAAACTATCTAAATAATAGATATCTGAACCACATACTGTTTGTAAGCTTGTCCAAATATGATTTCAAAAAGTTGAGTGGACAAAAGGGTAGGTATGTACTGTAATGGGTCAAAGATGTGTAATAATACTTCTACTTTCTCAAATTTGTCTTTGAGTCAAAGAAATTCTTTATTTCTAACTTTATGTGTTGAGATAATGTAGATAATTCAGTTTACTTTCTATTTCAAGACGCATTACAACATTCAATGCTTCAAGTGAGCTCCCATCTGGGGCTGAAGATACTGTGATCTTCTGGATCAACAAAGTGTGCTCTGTGGCCCAGAGCAGAGACCCCAAGTCTCAGCATGTGCTTCAAGGGGAGACCAATCAGAAAGTAAGTCTCCTCATCTATCTGTGTTGGCCCCTTTATGTTACACAATAGAGGTGGTCAGGATTAATGATAAATAGTGGTCAGCATGTGATCTGTAGTAGGAGTTTTGTTGACCCTTCTCTCTGTGTAAGGTTACAGGGGCTCTGAAATTACAATTCAATTCCTTACATACTTGCAGGTGCGTATTGTAAGTCGGACACCAGTAGGAGAGCCAACACAAGCTCCTGTGATACATAACCTAATGGCCGACCTCAGTGATGGCTGTTCTCTTGCTGTACTGCTCAGCTTCTACTGCCCAAACCTGCTCAGCTATAGTGGTAAGTTCATGTCCCTCTCAACAATCCTTAGGCAGTGTGCTAGTGTTCCATGCTTGTTGTACAAGTACCATGCATGTATGTGAAAAGAAAGCTTGTCATGTTTCCAAGGCTTGTCATGTTTCCATCTCAGTAAAGCATATCAGTGTAGAAGGAAGTCACCCTTTGACTGTACTCTCTATGTTTTTGTGTTCCATACTGGAGGCATAAGTTACCCAGGTGATGGAGGCATTGCTTGCCCAGGTGATGGAGGCATTGCTTGCCCAGTTGTCTAAGACACCACAATATGTGGTGTAGAGTTGTGTCCCTTGGACATGACTGATACTTATGATCATTAACCTGATACTCATTACAGTACATGACCTGGCTCATTCCATCAACCACTGGTTTGCACAGTAGGGATTCTGGGTTAGAAATTGGTTAGAAAATGGTGTTTTCACTAATTCAGACTTTGTTTGTTCAGATATTTGCCTGAAAGAGAACCTGGGTATTGCGGACTCACTGTACAACTTGCGACTGGTGAAGACGTTCTGTGAGCACAACATGCCTGCTGGGTGCTTCCCTTTCACCTATGAAGACCTACTGTATACACCCCACACACTCCGTGAAAACATCCTAGCCTTTCTTGGAGAACTCTTCTATTGGTTTGAGATACAAAAGTTTGATGGTATGATGGAAATTCAAAATCTTTCAGACTGATTTCACATAAGGAAATGCCTAAGTTATAGCCCTAAGGCAAATGCCTATCCAAATGGAGATCTTGATTATTGAAGCACAATATCTACCCTTGCACTGACTTAGTGGTCACTGTATAACTCAGTATTGTGTTTTCATGAATTGGGGTGAGGGGTAGCCTAGTAGTTAAAGCATTCGCTTGTCACGCCAAAGACCCGGGTTCATATTCCAACATGGGTACAATGTGTGAAGCCCATTTTTGGTGTCCCCCGCTGTGATATTGTAGCGTAATACCCAACTCAATCACTCTCTTTAATGAATTCCTCTTTGAGCAATTCCAGGGCACAAATAGTCTGTAATGTCACGGTATGCCGTCCATAGCCCATTAAAGTGAGGATCAGTGCCTTATTCCACCTAGCAATCTTAGTGCTACAACTACCATTGTGTGGTGTTACAGTGCAGGAGTTAAGATCACCTTAGCGCTAAGATTGTTTTGTAAAACGGGGGCCTTGTGGTTACAGCTTACCCCATGGGAGGAATCATTGATCATGATGTCAAGGACTGCTTTACAGGCCCAAATATGATTGAATACAGTGTGCCATCATGCTGACATTCACTCACTTTTAGGACCTGTGGTAGGTTGTTCAGACTAGCTGTATTGAAACTAAGGTGTAAGAGTGTGGACTGAAGTGGTTCTGCTTGTCTCCCCTTTGTCCAGGTTCCCGACCTGGCACTGGTCAGGCTCTGTCAGGTGTACCACAAGTCAGCAATGCCACCAAGCGCAGCTTCCATCAGGCAGAGGATACAAGATTTACTAGTAACCCTGAGCTCAACAAAGCCACAAGTCCATCGTGAGTCACCATGCAGTTTGTGTTGGAGACAAATTGCCTTAGACAATTTGAACAGGGACAAAGGAATCCTTGATGTTCTTGAAGTTAGGGGGTTGTTGGAGAATTTGGAAAAGTATAATTTATTATGGTTTTGAGAGGGCTGGATTGAGATCAAAACAGCAAGCTGTGAGTTATTATGGATTTGCCCTTCCTGCTGAATTAATAGTATAAAACCCAGGCCTTCAATCTGGATTGCTTTAATTGCTTCAGTGGGAAGGGGAAATTTAAGATGCAGTTTATTGATTGTAATACATTACATGAATATTACAGTCTGTGGAATAAGAGCAAATCAATAAAGGTCAAATTTTAGGCACCAAGTTCCTGAGGATGCAGTTTAAACAAAGCTGTCGCAGCACAGAGGTCAAATGTCAGAATAAATCATTACATACTCTACAGGGACATGACAGTAGCTCGTAAACTTTATGGAAGAATTAGTTAACCAGTGAGGGGGAAAACATTTATTCTGCTCCCATTATCAGATGGCACCTAATTATATCTGAATAACGCCAGGTGTTAAATGTTTGATTTAGAACATAACTCTTGCCTTTACCCCTGTTTCCAGATCGGGGATTCCACCAAGACAGGGACCATTGTTGCACAAACGCCACCAAGGCAAGACAGGTGTCAATGAAGAAGAACCTGTTCGATACTTAGGTTCGTTTAGTTGTTCAATTGAGAAAATAAATAAGTAGGAAATCGGGGTGGTAAATTAATTTCTTGTTTTACTGAATTTTTACGAGGCAATAGAACACCAATTTTTTTAAATGTCTGCTAATTCTGGTGATATGAGGTTCATAGTGAAAGACAAATTTAGCAAACTAAACATTGTTCAAAGTCAAAGCATTTCTATTTTCATATTATGTATTATGTTTTACATTTTCAGTGTCTCAGGTATGTCTAGCCTTGTACATATTTTATTGTTACTGTCATACAGAACCACCGAAACACCCCCGCAGAGCCCACTCTCTGAGTTCACCTCAAGAGAGAGATACCATCCGTCAGTCTGTGATAGCCTGGGAGGAACAAGAGTCCACACCACACAGGTGAGCTTGTCGTGTGACACATTGTACTTAGGGGACTAGCGTAATTCATGTGAACTTACAAATATATTAAACCTCTATCAAGCTGTTTTTCATTGACTTTATTTTTTTCGATGTTTGTTTTGAGTGTCCAAAGCCTCAATGTATTGATATTGTAATCAAATTTAAAACAAACTTCAGTTCATTTTGTTTTTAATTGTTTTGCCATGATGTACCCTATACCCTTTGCAGTTTGACGTTATTTATTTATTCTCTTGTTTATTCCATTTATTTAGCTAACCAACACTGTGACAATACATGATGAGGACCTGTAGAAATAACAGATACATACTGTTATTGATTTAATGTTTTAAATCCTGATGTTTGGTTTGCAGGCCTCAAAGTGTGAAGACATCAGTAAACCAGAGTCAAGACAGTGCTGCACTCCTGGCAAATGTGAGCATTGACTCGGAACTCAATGAAAGCTTTACTGATGACCAGCTTGGTAGCTGGAATTTTGACGAGGACAAAAGTCAGTCGCCCCAGCCAACGTTCAGTGACCGACAGACTGTGCCATCAAACCTGCATGATCCAAGTCACCCTGATTACATAGAGATAGAGAGTGTAAACTCACGTCAGTCAAATATGAACAGTTCTCGGAGTGAAAAACTGGAACCATTAATGCCAGCTATTATTCGTCCGGCAAAGGAAAAACATTCAAACCACACCAAAGCCCAAGAAAGAGGTGATCCTTATCAAAGAAAGAAATCATCACCAACAAAGCCTAGAAAGTCACGTAGTTCGCCTGTCAGCAGCTCAGTGACACCCAGTCAGGGGGACGTAACTGTTGAAGCTGTCGTAACTCTTCCAGGAGACAGTAGTCAAGTGACGAGTAGTGATGAAACTGTTGTGACGCCTCTCCCTGATGCACTGCTGACAGGTCGGGCAGGTGATGGCGACTACGTAAGCCCAGACTCTCAACAGAAGGGTTACGAAGCATTCTATATAAATCCAGAAATCTCTGTGGAGGTTTCATTGCCTCCTGTGTCGAGTCAGTCTCCCAGAACTCTTAGTGGAGGTTCACACACAGATGAAAGTGAGGTGACTGCTAGTTACACAATCGACCAAGATCATACTTTAGAAACTGCTAGAGCAGCTGGGATTCCTGTTGTTCACAGTGGAGATGGTGTTCACATTCGGAGGACAACATCTCGGGATGGTTCAGTGTCGAGCAGTAGGAGCTCAGGGGACTTCTCTGATCATGAATCACATAAGATACACCATGATCATAAAGCTAGAGAGACAGCTGACTTGAAAAAACTCTCTTTCGTTTCCTTCACGGAATCGTCAATCCCCAGACGTAGATGCCCAAAAACCCAAACTTGTGATCACTGACCAACTGCCTAAGACATTGTCTCAAACACTGGCTAACAAAGAGAAAAGGCCACTCACTACAAATTTTGCTGAAATCAAACGAATTAAGGAAGCTTATGGAAATATTGATAATTCTGGTTTGGTATATATGCAGAATGGCCAAGAACCAAAAGCTAATGGAACTACAAATACGCTCAAATCAGCATTTTATAGAAAACAAAATGAACCCGGGGGAAAGAAAACAACTTTTGCAACACTACCAAATGAAACCACATGGATTGCTCAAAGAGCATCTCAGGCCTCAGCAGCTCAAGCTCAGAACAATGGAGCTGATTCCCAACCTGTGTCATCTGAACTGTCCCAGCTGAGGATGAAGCTGGATGAAAAGAGGAAGGAGATTGAGAGGAAGAAACAGAGGATGGAGATGCAACAAACCAAGATGAGACGGAGACTAGGGAAGGATGCCTTCTACAGGGTAGTGTCTCGGCATATGGATGATGTGCCTGATGGCACGACGGCTCAAGGGGTTCCTGGTGATAGAACTGCATCTGAGATCGGGGAGAGGCTGGGACAGCAAGTCCTTGGGGCTCCTGATGCTCAAAGGCCAACATCTTTTGTAGATCCTTCCTCACATGCTGCTCAGAGGTCAAGGCCATTTTCACGAGAAGGAATCCAACAAACTATAGACAATGTTCGAAAGAAGTGGTTCAAGGAGGATGATTTAGTTGGTGGGGCAAGACCTCCAGATGATGAGAGTATGACTTTAAGTCAAGAGGAAAAACTAGGCCCACTTTTACATGTACAGTCTCAGCCAGTTCCTTCTCCTCCTTCACAAGCAATGACAGATAGTCAGCATAGCACTAGTAGTCAACACAGCACAGGCAGCCAACCTGAGTCATTTGAAGCTTACGATTCATCTCTGGATAAGCTCAATAAGAGTTTATCAGATCTCCAGGGTGAAATAGCACGGCTGTCATTACAACAGGAACAGATAAAATTCCTTCAGTCTCCTCAGGGCTATGCCCAAGCGGACATGCAGATGCACCTACAAGGTGGACCCATGACAAATGTTTCCAGCATCCCACCCCAGTCCTTTCCGAAACAGACTGGTTACACCTTGCCTCCTGCCACCCAGCAAGTCACACAGATGGGGCAGGGAGGATCTCATCAGCCATATACGATGAACCAGTTTGTGCCAGGAGCTGGTAGTCAAGGGCTGCCTGCTTCTGCATCTACTCAGATGTACGGAGGAGCCCAGTCAGTTTCACAGAAAAATGTGCCATACCAGCCTTGTCAGACACTTCCATACACCAGTCCTATCATGGCTGCTACAAGCTACCAACCGGTTTCCCAACCCACCTCCACCCATCATACTCCTCAGCACTCAACAATGGGATCTCAACTTCCCACTTCTACCCACCCTCCTTTTCCTACTTCTACTCCAATCCCACCATCAGCACTCTCAACAGAGCGAAGGATCCCAACCCCACCCGGTTATACTCTACCCCCTCACTCTCCTGATGCCCAGCCCAATGCTGACACTGCCTCAGAAGATAGCTCTTCCACCCAGGACACCACGGCCAATGGGAATGGATTCTTTGTTTCATTTGGGGATGAGACGCCTAAGAGAGCAAAACCCAAACTTGGCAAAGACAGGATGAAGAAAGAGCAAAGATCTGAAACACCTGTTGCCAATCCAGCATCAGCAGCACCTGCAGCATCGGCATCTCCTGCCTTGCCTGCTTCTGCATCTTCTGCCATGCCTGCTTCTGCCTCCACAACCAGTGCACCATTACAGCCACTACCTACTGCACATACAAACCATCAGAGTGGAAATGCTGGCTTTGTGATTGAAGATCGGGAACTAACCCCTGATAAGGTAAGGGTAATTCTCCATGCAGAAATGTCAATCAAGTCAAATGTGCAATAACATGATTGATTACAAAGGAGGGTGTATAGTATAATAAAGTTTGTCAGAGGTCTGTATCAGGTAAATAAACAGCAGCTTATATAGAAACAATTAATTGTTTGTATCTTTATTATACAATGCCATTTGTGTTCGTATTTTATTCAGACTGATATTTGAATACTGCATCAATATAAAAGATTGAATTTTGCTGTAAGTACTTTTGTAACTTTTCTCTGTGACATACCTCTGAAGAATGAAGAAAGAAAATCAGGGTAACAATATAATGGTATTGTGGTTAGTACATGTGTATTTGACTGTCTCAGGTTCAGAACTCGGAAGAAGAGATGGCAAGGAAAGAGAGCGGATACTGCAGATGCAAGTTAAGAGGAAGGAGGAGCAGGAGAGGAAGAGGCTGGAGAAGGAGGATGAAGCTGCCAAACAGCGGGAAGCACTGAGGTGAGCTTATGTCAGCACAGTCAGTCATGTTGGTTGGTGTGGGATGAAGAATAGCTTCGGGGTACAGACATCAGTGGATGGGTGTGGCATCAAGTATAGCCAAACTACTGGGGGGTACAGAAGTCGGTAGATATACACCACTGTCAGTCAGGTGGGTGTGGCATCAAGTATAGCCAAACTACTGGGGGTACAGAAGTCAGTAGATATACACCACTGTCAGTCAGGTGGGTGTGGCATCAAGTATAGCCAAACTACTGGGGTACAGAAGTCAGTAGATATACACCACTGTCAGTCAGGTGGGTGTGGCATCAAGTATAGCAAAACTACTGGGGGGTACAGAAGTCAGTAGATATACACCACTGTCAGTCAGGTGGGTGTGGCATCAAGTATAGCAAAACTACTGGGGGTACAGAAGTCAGTAGATATACACCACTGTCAGTCAGGTGGGTGTGGTATCAAGTATAGCAAAACTACTGGGGGGTGCAGAAGTCAGTAGCTATACACCACTGTCAGTGAGGTGGGTGTGGCATCAAGTATAGCAAAACTACTGGGGGGTACAGAAGTCGGTAGATATACACCACTGTCAGTCAGGGTGGGTGTGGCATCAAGTATAGCCAAACTACTGGGGTACAGAAGTCAGTAGATATACACCACTGTCAGTCAGGTGGGTGTGGCATCAAGTATAGCAAAACTACTGGGGGTATACAGAAGTCAGTAGATATACACCACTGTCAGTCAGGTGGGTGTGGCATCAAGTATAGCATCAAGTATAGCAAAACTACTGGGGTACAGAAGTCAGTAGATATACACCACTGTCAGTCAGGTGGGTGTGGCATCAAGTATAGCAAAACTACTGGGGGTACAGAAGTCAGTAGATATACACCACTGTCAGTCAGGTGGGTGTGGCATCAACTGTCAGTCAGGTGGGTGTGGCATAGCAAAACTACTGGGGGTACAGAAGTCAGTAGATATACACCACTGTCAGTCAGGTGGGTGTGGCATCAAGTATAGCCAAACTACTGGGGGTACAGAAGTCAGTCAGTCAGGTTATCACCACTGTATACACCACTGTCAGTCAGGTGGGTGCCATACACCACTGGCATCAACCGTCAGTGATGTGGGTGTGGCATAGCAGGTGGGTGTGGCATCAAGTATAGCAAAACTACTGGGGGTACAGAAGTCAGTAGCTGTCAGTCAGGTGGGTGTGGCATCAAGTATAGCAAAACTACTGGGGGTATAGGTGAGAAGTCAGATATACACCACTGTAGACATACCACCACAAAACTACTGGGGTACAGAAGTCCACATAGGAATGTTGTTCGACTTCACCTTGTGTGTTCAGGCAAATAGTTATGATGATGTGTATGTAGATTGAAGCAAGAGGAAGCCGAGAGGAAGAAGGCAGAAGAAAAGGCAAGGAGGGAGCAGATCTACCAGCAGTATCTACATCGGAAACAACATCAGGAAGATGAGGAGAATGGTATAGAAAGACCCCAAGAGAGACCAGCCAAGTCCAAACCACGACCCAAGTCCATGTTCGTCAAAGCCACCAACTCACCCCCTCCAGAAGACGAAGGTTTGGTTTGCTCGCTGGACGATCTCTCTGCTCGAGCATTTGTTATCCCTTCTTCAGGTGGTGCTGCCTGTAAGTGTGTGCACGCTGTTGCTTCTTTTGGGTTCTCTGTACTTGTCTTGTACCTCTAGCAAACACATTGGATATACCTGACTTATGAGAAACTTTGGTCTGATAAATACATTGATTCAGAATGGTAGAAAAACTTTCTTCTTGTGTTGAGAAAGATAAAGCCAGATGTACTAAGTTAGTACTATTTATTGAGACAAATTATTCTCTTCACTGGACAGTATTATGCTGCCTTCATAGTTAAATGTGTTTGCTAAAATACATGCATTATTTTGTTCTAATTTTTCATTTTAATAAATGAATTTGGATATTTGGATGTCATCAAATAACAGATTATTTTGTGGATTTTTTAAGAAATTTAGAAACATAGATTTTGTCCTAAAGTTTAAAAAAACCTCTTCATTATTGCATTTGCAAGAAGAGACAATATCTTCCAAGATATATTAGGCACGTTATGATTAATGATGCTTTCTTTTGTTTGATTTGAAATTCAGTAAATACTTATACTGGAAAAAAATTGATGCTCAAATAAGACTATGATTATATTCTGGAAATATTTCAAATGCATGGACTAAACTATACCATTTTTAGAAAGCATGCAGTATATGTTCGTTCATAACTAAATATCTCCATAACATGACAAAGGTAAGTGAACATGTTTTCCTGTTTTAAAGTTCAATTTGACTCTTTTTTGCAGCTAATTCTTTTACATTTTTTGTTAGTTTCGTTTAGAATATCCATCTTTGCTGGTTTGATATGTGAATGTTGCTTTCAATATATGAAGAATGCTGTAGAAATAGTATGTACGGTATGCTGCTAGTTGTATGCTGGTGCAATGTATGCCACAGATACCATATATATATATATATACATACATACCCTGCATCAAGAGTGTGTGTTTGTGTGTGTGTGTGTGTCAGGAATGGAACATGTAGTTCCCAGGTACCAGTGTTTTCAAACAGTTGTATCATCCCAGGTAAAGCATTTTTGAGATGCCCACATATTTCAATACTAGAAAACAAAATAGTGACAGCCCTTGAAATGATTATGAACTTCCACAATGTTAATATAATGAACTCTAAACTGTCAGAGAAACGAGACCCTGATCATAGCTTGACTATGTATCAGCATTTGTAGATGTCAACGGTTTAAAGTAGATGCCAGGGTAATTGGAAGAAATTGTGTAATGCTATAAGTTTAGTGATTGGTATTTGAAAACACTCACATATCTAGATAGACAACAAAATAACAGCTGCCTGTCTGTATCTCTAGCAATGTACACTATCTCTATAGTCAATGTTGAAGCAAAGTGTCTTGTTCATATCCCTTGCCAAAATCTGCTTGGAGACTGCAGAGCATTGCGAATCTTTGGACGAATGAGCACAGCGTCCCACAGTTACTCTAGCTTACAGACTTTGTTCCCACAGTGCCCAGTTAGTAGGCTGTTCTTGAGATGGTAGACTGTTTGGGCCATGGACCAGCAATCAAACTAATTGTGCTAAATCAGATGCTGAACAAGTAAAGGGGTTATGTTAACCAGTCCTTACCAACACTACATCTACAATGGACATTAACATGGAGTTACTGTCAAATGGCCTACCTGTGGGGACAACATGCTACAATCTTTCCTACATTTCTTTATGATTTTATTTTTATTACTTCTTGGTTTGGTGTTTATTCGCTTCATTTACCCCGCTGTAAATGTGATCAGAATGCCTGCAAGATTGCTTGAAACATTAGTAACACTGTATGATTACTATCTGCTATTGATGACAGAGGGCATGGTGTTTCCTGCTTAAAGAGGCACTGTATTACTCCACCAGGCCAATACAACACTGGGTGGTTTGGATTAGGCATTAAGATGAGCATGATGGTCAGAAGCTTCACAACTTCAACAGCATGAAAGCCTTCTTGTTTTTATTTTCATTTTTAGTTTAGACTGCATATGAGAAATGTTGCTGTATTTGTATTTGGTTTAAATGTTTTGACAACTATTCAGTTTATGCTCTCTTTTGTATCAATGCAAAGTGTACGGTAATCTATGTTTGTTGAGTATTTGGCTGCAATGTTTTGCTCTTTTCGGATTTCTATGTTGACAATTACATGTATAACAAGTTGTCATTTCAAATAGCTTGTCTTATGTGATTGAAGGAAAGATGGATTTTAAAATTTATCTTTAAGCGCCATTACTAAAATCTGTATTCACTCAAAATTAATATCTGAAACTAAAGAGTGATTTCCACAGCAACATTTTCCCCCATGCACTAACATGTAGAATAGATTCTACTGGAAGCTTGTTACTCCTATTTGATTGGTTGGGAGCTGGCCAGAGGCGCCCTCAATTTTTTTTTGTTGCATCATTCCCACATCCGGTTTGCTTTTTTCAGCCTCAGCCTCCTCTTCTCCTCGCCCCACTCTTCGTATTCCCCAAACACGAGGAAAGTTGAGAAAAGCAGGTCTGTACTACTAACCCCTGATTCCAGACATTCAAAACTTTGTGCCCTAATACACCTTGTACCAGGACAGTTGCTCAAACAGAAATCAGGTTCTGACAAGTCTTTGATATCAATAGCAGCATAATACTGACTCAGTGAATATATACTGAACAAAAAACAAATATAGGAACACAGGAAACTTCAAGCGCTCCTTTAATATTTTCCAGTTTTCATCACCAGCTTTGAATAGCGCTGTGGGAGGAAATCTGAGAATAAATAAGGAACACTGCCATGAAGTGGTGTTCCCTTATTTGTTTCCCTCAGTATATCTCATGGCTCTTCCAGCAGTCCTCATTGCTGCAGTTATTGTCCTTCCAGTGATGTATTGATTCCCATACGTAATGCCATTAATTATTTGTAGGAAAAACAAGAAATCTGTTTTCTCTCTGTCAATTTTTGTCTTCTTGTTGAAAATAGTAACATGAAAACTGATTGGTCAGGGAAATATTTGTTTCTCTGCCCGTTGAAAGCTGCAGGGAATATGCTTCCTTATCAGGGCACTGAACACAGCACGTCACCTGAGTGTCCTTGGGTCCACTTTCACATGTATATACAAAATTTTTATATGCACAAAGTTTTGAATTGGATCACAAATTAACATTGTAGCTTTATGTTGTACAATCCAGGATTTATGTCATTTGTAAATATCACCAGATTGTCTAAATAGGCCCACATGAAGAACCAAAGCTATTTCTGCTGGAAAATGAAATTCTTTCAACACTTGGCAGTGGTAATAGTTTGCATAAGCAAAATTTGATTTGGTGATGGGAACACTTCGCTGCAATACTGCACTGCCAGCTTATTGATCAAGCCTTTGCCCAGGGTAACTAAATGGACATTAACCTTACACTTCATGGCAGCAGTTTTGGTGTGGAGACTTTTCGCAGCCTAATAATACTTTTTGTACATCAGAATTGTCTTACTTTGAAGTCAGTTTCTTTGTATTGTGTACTTAAATGAAGTTAACTTGAATTCAATATATATTGTACAACTCCAGAAAGGAATATTTAGAATATGAAAAGGCAATATTAGAAATCAACTGCCTTTAACTTTACCTTAACCTGACATCTAGTTGTAGATGATGTTTTGAGAGGTTCTCAAGTCCTGTTATAAATAGTATATATCATGTTAAATAAAGATAATTTCTCTTTTGCCTTACGCAAAGTCTGTTTTGAGCCATGATTACAGAAAAAGCTAATGTTTGCAGTGTAATATTTAATGTTTACGAGTTAATCAGTATGTTACTTTGCTACCAGTAATTGTAAGCACATCCCCAACTTGTCAGTACTGTGATCTGTCACGGAAAACATTCAAACCACCTGGGCAATCCTTGCTATGACTTTCCTTCAGAAAGAGCAGCTTGAATCCTGCTCAATCAGTAGGCATAGAAAAGGATTTGTCTCAGTTATGTCCCTCCTTCACACTAAGTATTGTTAGAGGATACAGTGGATAGTAAGTCTGAACTAACTGCATCCATGTGCATTGTGATCTGAGAGATGACTGTAGACTGTCATGGCTGCCTTGTGTTCATGACAAGCTTGTGAATGTCCTAGAAATCAGTCGATCAGCTTGTGAATGTTCTTGATAGGAATCTCTCCTACTCTGAATGCCCTCTATATAAGGAATTGTGTTTTCTTGTTAACCGATACCTAAATTACTGACACACAGTGTGTGGACGTTTGCCATAATGCATCGTTTCTCCCTACACAGTCTCTTGCAACACTCTAACACAAAATGGCCGCCCAGGAGGAATGACATATCGGAGACCCCCCTCACCAGGTGGGTACTGGAACAGCGTTCTCCTTACAGTGTAATCATGAATATAGTGTTCACATCTTATATCCTGTGTGGCATTATGAAAAAGATGGATGTTGTAATGTTACTGCAAGACTATGTACACTCTGTATATGTGACATGTTTTGATGTCTTGACCTGTGTGGTAACAGAATTGTAGGTGACTCGTCACTGCCTTCATCAGAAAGTGTAGCAATACTGATTCAACGATAGATTAAAATAAACATTCACAGCAATTAAGAATCCTTTACCTTGACCATGGGAAGAAGTACTGAGTTCAAACCCACTTTATCGTTTGAATTTAAACATCTGAAAATAGGTCTATGTGTTGAAATATCAAATCTTTATTTGTGAAGGAATCACAGTGAAAAACATATTTATCTTTGCAATATCTTTCTTGACCAGAAAAAAATAAACTTTCCAGAAAAAAAAACGAAATAGTTTCATTGACATCCAGTTTGAAAGTTGGTTTGATAGGCTGAAGGCAGCTGTGGCCATTTTCCTAAATTCAGTTGTATGATAGGTTACCCAAATACCCACTGAGTAACATCATGTGTTCATTGTTGCCCACAAGCCCTAACTGGTGTGTGCTCTGCAATAATACAACCTGAGTGATTTAATACACTAACATTGCAGGTACGGTGGATGTAGTTGTTGTTGTATGGGTAGGTTGCTGGTATAAGTGTCCCCTCCAACAACTTCACTAGCTTGCTCATGTGCTGTGTGAAACTTTGTGTAGTGATTCTTGTTTGCTAGTAGCACAGCTCTCATCTGTCCTCCTGACAACTAGTCTGGTTTACACTCAGAAAAGCTACATTCCATGCAACTTGTTTTTATCAGTGTTTTTATGAAGATTTGTCGTGATGGTGCAGTGTTTAGATCATTGAACTGCAGTAATGTTTTTCTTTTCAGCGTTGAATTGTCATGATTTTATAATGCTGGTGAGAAGTCTGATTCAGTAGGAATTGAAATGAACAAATTGCTAAAATTTATGATTCCTTGACATCTTCATCTAAAAAAATGTTGTTTTCCCGAGTTTCAGTATCATAGTTAAATGCAACAAGACATAAGAGTATGCTTTAACTCTTAGACAGTTCCGGGTAATGAAAGTCTATTAAAGAGTAAATACAGTGACTTAACAGTCAGTAATGTCTTCCTCAAATATGTGTCAGAGACATTTCAATATTTCAGTTGTTGCAACAGTTATTGATTCATTTGTAACTTACCAAGCACATATTCCTGTAGATCTGTACAGGCTGCAGCAGCGGCGTAACCGTAGCAACGATAGCAGTGAGACAGGATCTAATGCAGGATCTGACTATACTGGTGAGAGTTATTTTAGATCAACTTTTTTGGATCAATCAGAATGATTTTTACTCTATTTTCTTTTCTTACTTTTATAGACCAACGAGCATGAAACATGCAAAATTCATTCCATGCCCAGCATAAGGATATCATGTGTTTAGACCTAAAGGGCTATCTCAGTCCAGTCAAGTCTTTAAGATAAAGAATTTAAATACTGAGAGAGAGAAGTTAAAATGAAGTGGTTTTCCACCTTCATCCCTCACTCAGTTGGGGATGTCGGTAGAGGATTTTATTCAAATCTGTGTTCAAAAATGACAAAACTGATACCTGGATAGTAGTTCAGATAGTGGATGAGGATAGGTATATTAAGTAGGTAAACTGAATATTTTGTGTTTGTAAGGCCTTAAGAACAATTCAGTTTTGGCAGATTCATAATTAAGATCATATTCTGATGTTGCACTGAAGTGTCAGAGGCACACATCACCTCCAGTTAAACTGAAGGTGTCAAGCTATGTTTTCATGGTGATGGATGTCAGGGTGGCATGGCGATACATGACGGCAGTCTGGTAATAATCAAATCTTGACTAGATAGTTTCAGTGATTGACATCATGAGCATCTATCTATGGAATTGGAATACAATGACATCCAAAGAACCATGTCATCTTGCCTGACCACCCAATAAATGTAGTTACCATTTTAACAAGCATAGGTTTCTGGAGATAGATGTTATTACCCACAATCCCTACACATTCTCAAATTAATCATAATTGGATTATGAATGGATTAAATTTCTGTCACAGGTCCCAAGTTATTTGTAAAGCCCAGTTCTAAATCCAACCGCAACATAATCATGAACGCCATCAGTCACTGCTGTCTAGCAGGCTGCGTCAACACAGACACGAAGAACAAGGTTTTGGAGGTATGGATGAATAACATTTTTACTTACTGATATGTATTCGTCACCAACATCTGAATGACTCTGTACGGTCATGTTGTAGTTTTCAATGTGTATGTTATCATTTACTCATAATAAAATTTGTCTGATTGGTGAGCTGTCGTCATGAAATTCAGATGTAAGTATTTGTCTGTACAAGTCAATACATAATGTGAAATGTGTCATGTGTGGCACTAGTAGGGTGTATGGGATATTATGGTGGAATGTTGGTGTACACCCCTCACCCTGTGGTGTTCATGCCCATTCAGTTCATAAGGTAATGTACAATGTGACATATGGAACTTTTATTCTTGCACAAACGCAGCGAGGATCTACCAAAAGCATCATTGTAATGTTTGCTTTCATATAGGTTAAAGGACCTTAGGGGTCAAAACAATGACTGATCTGTGCAAACTCGGTATCGTGTGTTTGAGTTGGGCAAGGTGCAGGATAGTTCATGCAGCTGTACACATGTGGATGCATGTTGCCGAATGACGGAAATAGTCTCATGAAAACCATATTTCACCTCACCTCACCTATAGTGAGTATTTAAGGCTAGAGTTTGATGTTTCACCTTTGTCCTCCTCCAGATCATCTCCCAGACTGATGCCAAGCACTTCCTCATCCTGTTCCGAGACGGAGGCTGTCAGTTTAAGGGCCTGTACACCTATGCACCAGAGATGGAAGAAATATTCAAAATACATGGAGTTGGACCAAAGCAAATCACCAACAAAATGGTGGAAAAGTTTTATAAGTAAGTGAGAATAATCATTTCAAGAAGTGAAAATCCTGTATTGTTCTTAATCAAAAGTCATTGGTTGTCCAAACACATGGATGATATTATTGGCGATAAACAATTATGTAATTCTATTACAGATACAACTCAGGTGCCAAAAGCTTCACTGAGGTAAAGTCTACCAAGCATATATCTGTGTCTATTGATGCTGTTGTGGTGCACAATGCTTTGTGGAAGACAAGTAAACCTGGCGCTGCTAAGAAATAGATCCTGCTGTAGTCACTGATCTCAGTCACAACACAGTCAAGACACAGTCCAGGGACTCTCTGACAGAGAATAGGAGATAGCTACTTTTAGCCTTCCTTGTAACAGTCACAGACGGCCATCTGGATATCAAATAGTCATCCCTGGCACTGGATAGTGCTTGAAATGTTATGACAGTTGTGTGCATTCGGCCTGGGAAGTATCTCAGCTTTGTGGTAATGGCAAGTTTAATGTGTTCTGTTCTGTTTGGACCATTCTGTGCTGCTTTTAAAGGTGTATCTCAATAATGTGAAAAAGGATACTTCATGCCAAGTCACACCGATATGAATATCAATTTTAGCCCCAAATTACACCAGAGAAAATCATTTTGTGGTCATGGTACGTTTTTATAAATAATGTGTGAATGAATACTAAGGGCATTGGATACTTTCTACAGCATGACCAAAGATTCAGTGATGGATTTATTTGAATTGAAGTTACAGTAATATTATACAGTTATATTTTCAACAAATCCGACAATACTGTATGTATGGAAAAAATTGTTAAGATGGTTATATGGTGTCATGGATGACAATGTATTTAGAAATATGATTTACAGGTAATGGCTTCCCAGATCCGATCCCAGTCTGATACACATTTTGTATAAGATGCTAAGTTATAGGATATAGTCAGGTTAGCTTGAGTCTGCCGTCACAGTAAGACGAAACGTTCATATGTCAAGCAATATTCCAGCCAACAGTCCCATTAAGCAGAAACTGCATCGGCTATGAAGTGTATGACCTGCTTTGTTGAAATGTGATTATGCAAGTCTTCTCATGTACTGCTTGATAGTCTGTTCACAGTGGCTCATGCCAAACTAGTTACATTTGTTAAATTATTTTAATATATTCCACTACACATGACCATGATTACTACTGCTGTTCTATGTGTGTATGAACCACAGTAGTGGGACATGTGGGACATTATCGTTTTATCCCATTCAACTGAAATGTTAGTGAAAGGTTTGTATTTGATATGGTTCAGAATTTTTTAATTGATTTTAGCCATTATTCACTGTTGATGGAGACTTCGACTTGTTTCTTCAATTTTAATCAACATATACATGAGTATATATCATTGTATATATAGTATCATGATCTGGCTCGGAAACAACATTTTGTCACACACAAACGTGTAAATGTAGACCCTGCATTATCATCATAACTAATAACCATAATCAATAAACAGACAGCAGAAATGTTCTGGTGTCACCAGTTCAGCAAACCATATTAACAGTGTAAGACATGTCAAGCTTCATTTTGCATGTTATCCTCTGAGACTAAGTCATACTGGAACTTATTGTGTATCAATTATTGTAGGCATGGGTTGTAGGAATGGGAAAGAGGACTAAGTAATTTTGTGATTACAGGATTTATGGTTGTATGTGAAGAGTTGTGAATATGTAGATTTTGACCTAATTTATGTGTATAAACCCTAGTTGTAGAGTTGAAGACATGCCAGTGAGGCCCAGGCTATTGCTCCCAGTACAGTTGTGGGTCTTTCAGAGTTCAGCTGTTAGCTTCCTGTCTGTCACGGCTGTTTCCATTTAACACTCCTGCGATGACCAATGCTTTTGTAACAAATATTTATTGTAAAAATGTACATTGTTTTCTACACTTCATTGTTGTGATCTAGCTAGTGCTTCAGTTGCACTGGATCCCGATGTCATATTGGATCCTGTTGTGGGACACAGTGTTTTCATTATTCAGATCAAATAGTGCTTATCTCAGAGTTCCATCTCAAAGAGTGCTTGTAAAATAAATGTTTAACTATTTGCATAAATATGCATTTATTTGTGTAAATGTTTCATTCACATCAACATCATTTCATAGAAAAAGATATTAAAGTATAGTCATGTCATTTTCATAAATCACTCTTTCCAACATCGTTATTCACTCATTTGTTGCATTTATTTCCCTGACAGTTATCAAAACATTTGTCGTCAATCAGTGTGCAGATTCCAGGTTCGCCAATAGACTGTGACAATAACCTTCCTTCTATCTCAAGTAGCAATGGTTCTATTTATGCATAATTCTGCTCTGCTTTGCTGTTTGTTCAAATTGGAGTGGCAAGAGATATGCAGCATGGACCTGATGCTTCTAGTAGTGTCAGAATTATATCCCTTTAGCTGCCTTAACCCCCAGCCAGAGGGTAATCACATAAGAATGATCTTTTAAAATACCCTTGTTTAGATTTTAGAAACAGTTGATTTCATTATATATTTTTGTTTCCTGTTAGCAATAGTTTGGATACCTTTCCTGACAAAGATTCAACATTTTAATTGTTACTTGTGGAGACAGAATAAATACCCAGTGTCATCTTGCTACTCCAAGTTGTATGTGCAGCCAGCAAGTACAATATTATTTATGTGAGAAAGCCTGTGATACTATTGGCCTTACAACTTTCAATATGTTGCTGTGACAGTGTGCATCTAAATGACAAATAAATGTTTGTTGCCAGCTAACACTAGTTTTGTTATCAGTCACGTTTTTCCACAGTATTTCAGTCATATCACAGTGTTATGGATGAATAGATACTTTCTTTTTGCACACATGTCCATGATATATATACGCTGTGTATGAAGTTGTATGGTTGAACAGGTTATCATGACAGTGTCTGTAATACTGCCAAGTGGAAGATTGTTCTCAGTTCTCCAGTGTGAAAATATATGTATATTCTATAAATGAAAATACAACCACCTTGTACCCACTCACTACCACAGCTTCTTTCAAATAATCAAATCCAACCAAATAAATCGGGGTTCGCACAGGTTTGAAAAAGCCTGAAATTTTGACATTTTGCACTAAAAAAGGCCCTATATTTATTTAATTTTACCAGGAAAATACCTTGCAATGAAAATGTGCATTAATTTATCTCCAAAGCAAAGCTTTCCCAGAGCAGCAATGTAGCTACGAGTTATTTCCCTCTGCTTGCTGGTCCCGCAGTTGACCTTGAGTGTATTCAACTACATCTACCTACTGCGTATGTGTTCTACCTGTTTCTATAGTTCCTTAAGAATGTTGATTGGGCCTTACGACAGAATGGAGATACTATGCACTATTTTGGTTGTGTCATCCTACTGCCTGTAGTAGCTTAAAAGACTCAACCATGATCCATGCAGTCTTAAAAAAAAACACATAGATAAATTTGATTTATTTCTCTTCATGTTCATATTATTTTTCTGATACATATTTCCTTTCCTAAATACACCATAAATTCTATAAAGTGTAACAAAGCTTTAGGTGTCTGGGAAGCTTGAGGAATAGAATAATCTTAACAAGAACACAAGATTAGGGCAAATGTCAAGGCAGTATAGCACTTCACAGAATACTGAGTAACAGTCTACCACCGGGTATTCTTTGTCAAGTACACGTTCTTTCATATCAATTACAATAAGTAACCTTGGTAACAACTATCTATCATACACAATATTTGACATTGTAACACTATACCCATGCATACATTGTAGTCCTTAAAATAAGATACCATATAAGATTAAAAGGTACAAAATGTCATTAACATGAATATATTAGCTTACAGCTTGAATAGAAACTGGTTAATGTCAGTGGTGTCAAACCCTGAACATACAAGATAAACATTAACAACAAATACACCATACGATCTTAGGTATGATTCTAAACTGTCTAAAAATTACATTAATGCAAGGAGAACATACATTGTCATGACATGAACACTTGAAGTGAGTTGGATTTAATGCCTCTTGAACAGTATTCAAGCTATATCCGTCAGTATCAGTAACCACAGAAGATGCAGGTACAAGACATTAACCACTTGGATGAAAGCAACACAGGAATGGTACTGCCAGACCTAGAAACATATTCCAGATTCAAACCCATGATGCAGCTAATTGTGGCCAATAGGCAACTGGTGAGCCCCTCCAGGACATGAGAACTGGTTAATAAAGATGTGCGTATAGGGTTACCTGTAGCAAAATTAATACCATAGCACCTTTTGTATGATAAGTCTAAACATCACAGTGCACGAAGAGCACGAGTTGTTTTGATATGAACATTTGGATGTAATTGTGAGGGAATAATGCGTAATACTGCAGTCAGCAATGTTTATATTCCTTTAAATGATCAATCTGACTAGAGATTGCATGGATCATTACTCATACTTTCAAGCAATGATCCACAATCAGCTAAGTGACTGGACCAGATGATCGATGTTAGTCAACCCTTACAAGCAGACGTTACTGCGATTAAATTCTCACCAAAAATCAGCCAAAGAGTGGTACTACAATCAACCAGTCTGCAAAAGCAGAGTCAACCAAATATTTGTCAAAAAATATTACATTCATTTAGTTGAACTGAACCCTATTTACAAAGCTAAAGCAAAGGCAGTTACTGATAAAAGATGTGCCAGGTTCCCAAATGTCTGGGTATAAAACATATTATAAATTAAATAATTACATAACCACTTATATATGAGCATCTTGCTCCATATACAACATACAAGAGTAAAGTCCCTTCAAAAAAGGTTCCTCATCATAAATAAGATCCCTTCTTTCTCATGATTCTAGTGCTTGAAAACACAAACAGTAAATGCATTTATCAGGTTTACAGTTCTGAGTCAAGTAACTTACATCCTGAAGGACAAAATATGAACAAATTATCTAATGGTTTGTAAATGTTAAAAAGCAGCTCTCATAACACAAGCAGTAACCGCAGCTGATTGTCTACCAACATTTTTTGGATAAATGAGTGTCATCAAGGATTGGAAGTTTCGGGGATCAGTGTAGTGCTGTGTCTTATGCTGTTCTGGCCAGTTTTCCAGTGATGTTCCAGAGTTGCAGGAATGTCCAAGTGATGCAGGCTGGGGAGATCTTCACCTCCTGTGAAACCCCCAGAGAGGCAGGGATGGAAGCTAATAATGAGATGACTGTCACTACGATGCTGGTGACGTGAGAACACTGTCAGAATGGAAGGACCAGAAGGACCAGCAGAACCTAACAGAACCATCCCTACTGATGTCCCTGTTCTGGCTGCAGGACCAAAGGTTTGTTTGTTTTTGATCAGGCTATAATGTTTCAAATCCAAATAAAACAAAACACAGTTTTGACTGAACCTGTTTTGTAACACAGTCATGATAAATTTGTTTCTTTAAATAGAACTATGCCTTTTGTCACATTTCCATTCAACAATATGATCAAGTTAACTTATTGTTGTATATTTTTTTACTCTTGCATCTTATCACACTGTACAAATCAGTACAACAAGAAATACAACTTACGGGAACAAGCATAATTTCTTGCTTTACAGATTTTCTTGGTAGGGACAGCAAGTAAAGATTTTAGAGATATTTTCAAGTTATTTTCCAGAAACAAAACCTCTTATAGAACTTTCACACAAATACAGAACACCTTGTTCATTAATTTTTAAAATTAAGAGCCAACTTGTTCACATAACATAAAAGTCAAAAACAAAAGAAAGCTCCACATGAATTCATACATGACAATAACCACATGTCAGTTTCAAAATCAACTGGTCTTGGTGGATCTCAAGTAGTCCTCACCAAAACGTGTAATACTGATCACCAATACTCTGTCTTATTGTACAAGGTCAATACTTACTGATTAACAACATAAAAACAAAATCAAAGCAGGAAAATCTGTGTGTTCCAGATTTCCATCTCCATACAAAAGTCTATTCATAGTTTCCCAAAATATCACTAGATCATCGGGCCGGCATTTAATAAATCCCTCTTGGCTGATTTGACCCCACAATGTTTTCTTGCCTAAGGGATGTAACTCTGGCAATGTCAGTACATTCACCAACCAGTTCTAAGATACAAGTGTTAGGGACAGGTCACTTATTATTGGTGGTGGGATTGGTCTTAGGAATGCAACTGTGTTTCACACACAGCAAACAAACAAAGCCCTTTCTGAATATCTATATATCAGGGTGATATGAAAATACCCCCAGTCTGTTGAACTTCATAAGGTTTTGTTTGTTTGAATGTTGTTTAACACTGCACTCACAATATTCCAGCTATATGGCTGCAGTCTGTCAATAATATAGTCTGGACCAGACAATCCAGTGATCAACATCATGAGCATCGATCTACGCAATTAGGATGCGATGACATGTGTCAACCAAGTCAGTAAGTCTGACAACCCGATCCCATTAGTCACTCCTTACAAAAAGCATGGATTACTGAAAACTAATTCTAACCCGTACATTCACAGGTGAACTTTATAAAGAGAAACAACTACAGGTGCCATAAATGAGATATTACCAGAATCAAAGCATTTATATTGTATATTTTATTATTTCCTGTATATTTTCAACAATGTTCGATGTCATAAAAAGATTACTTTAAAACACTAGAACTGTGTAATGTTTTTATGCTTTACCCCCACCCTGACCCTTTAGCAATCCCACCTCTTCTGTTGTGATATTATTCCATGACTCCTACCTTAATCTCGCCAGCCCACCACCCCATATGATGAATATGACCTGTCCTTTAGTGTCCAACACTGGCTTGTACTTCAAAGAAATCCTGTTCTAAGATATAAACATAAAGTGGAGGGAAACTATGGACAACAAGTGGTACCCCAGGGAACTGCTGCTGTATCAGGTTGAGTCTGTGTGGCCCTTAGAGAGCTGGGTACAATGTACTGTAGTCACACAAGCAGAAGGGTATCTGTGGTTTCTATACTGTTTTTTTGTGCACACTCTTGATGCTGTGTCTTCAACTGCCATATGGAACTTGTCACTGGCACCAGAATGTTGCAGGAATGGCACGATCAAAGTCTTGTTGAGTCATATATATCACAATCTTGCAAAGCTGTAAAAGGAGAAAAGCTCATTTTTATGGAACTATCATTAAGACATGAGGTTGAGATGTACACTTGAAAACTATTTCACAAGAATCTTTAAACAAATCTGTTAACGCATGTCTCTTCCTTCATTTTTATCAATGATTTTATAAAACACTCTATAGAATAGAACAAAATAGAATACATGTATAACAAAAGCAATCAGAAAATCACTATCAAATCAGCCAATGTTATGTAACCAGAATAAAGACATAATCTTGATACTGGTGGCTGTGGAGGTGAGAAGACCTATAAAGCATGCACAAGGTGTGGTGTGGTGTGGCATGGTGTGTTTGGGCTTGTAATAGCCATGACTGATGCCAGTTATTTTTAGTGCTAGCCCACTGAGATACCATGCCTCAGTTTAACATGTATACCAAACTCTCCCACACACAGTATAATACCTGCAAACCAACCAGTCCTTGTTAAATCCCGATAATGCCCTGCTTCAGGCAGGGAAACAAGGAAGTGCCATCTACTGAAGTATTCTGGTATGTGAGCCGGGGATCGAAACAATCGACCTTATACTCAGTTCACTACACTTCAGATGGACAACACATTGGAAACAACAGGAGAACATGATATTCTACATACTGATGCAATCAGTCAAGGCTGTGCTATGAACAAAAACTAGCTATCACCTAATTGTTTGATCAGCATTCTAGAAGTGGGCGAGTCAAAAATGAAACATACAACTTTATGGATGACAACTTCTTGTTTATTGCATAGAGCAACATTTCGATGTAGATTCTTACATCAAGCTAAAAGTGACTTCAACCAAATGGTGAGAATGTATCACCTATAAAAGACAGAAAAGTCTCAAACACTATCACAAGCACAGCAAAGTTACAGCTGCAATGATGAAGCTGATGTGCCAGTGTTTCAGTTATGTAATAGCATATCAGCCTTCCTGTTGAGTGTAATGCTATGACTGCCGTTGAAGTGTAGGATTAATGTCCATTACAGTACTGAAACAGTGATCTTCCCTTTGTAGTCAGCCTACACACCACTGTTGTTAGTGACACCTTCATCTACAAACCTGAGTTAGTTATGCCTTTGTCTTAAAACTTGGCTCTTGTTCTCTCAGCCCTTGTCTATAAACCTGTCATTATTTCAACCTCCATCTCTAAAAACCGGGCAGTTTACAAACGAGAGGCCATCTGCAAAAAGCCACCTTTGTTCTACAGATCATATTAAGTTTAGAAATACAACAGTCACAGTGTTAGACAGGAAATGAATCTAACCATATCAGTACAAACCTGAAAGTGGCAGGTTCAACCTTTAAGGTGTGAGTCCAGAGCTGGCATGCTTGACTGGGTCGCTTCCTTGGCCTTCACGAACGATGTGGAGAGATATGTTTCAAATGATGGTAATGTCAACGGCACATCACTTGCCTTGACTGCGGTCTGGTCCGGCATCACTGTCACTTTCTTAATTGGAGCCATGGTCTTTAATCTTTCGAGGTTTTTCTTGTGTTTGGCACCTGCAGAATACAATATCTTTTGTCTGTGAAGGCAGGATCAATACACTTAAGGGCTGGAAATAACTTTAAAATTGCTTGTGTACTCGGGTCAGTGGCACATGTATAATCACTTGCCCTGATAATATTTCCACTATACAGGACGATTTTCTTGTTGATTTTTTAAATAAGCAACATGATGAACATTGGAAAGTCAACTGGACACCGGTACAGTGTGATATACAAATTTGAATGCCCGACAGAAAAAAACACTGGACTAGGACGTTGGGCAATGGGTTATTTCCACCCCTACACTTTGGTGTTCATTTCAAAAAAGTGAGAAAGTGAATGTTGTGTAAACATATTTCAAATATATCTCAGGAGCCACAAATAATCAAAGCAAACCAGCAACTGAAGCAGCTGCAACATTCCACACCAATGTGGTCTGAAGACTTACAATCAGTCAGAAACCCTGACTTCCCTTCTTACAACCAGCTATGGGATGCTGGGCACCTGGTCTAACCAGATGCCTCAATCATAAAGTTTAATGACAATGAAAATAAGGCAAACCTATTCATCAATCATGTTCTCAGTCCCTCCTACCTGATCCTGAGGCATCCAGCCTCTCTTGATTTGAAAAGGGCATGGGTTGACATATCAAACAGTAATGCATTCCTTGGGCATGCCAGAAACCAATTATTGTGATTTCAACTCCTGCCATCGATTATGTTTCTAGGTTTGTCGGGACCATACCCATGCTCTGGGTTTCATCAATGAGTTGAACGTCTGCATCACTTGGAGCTTTTCTCCGACATTAATGATTAAGTGGCCATGCCATGAAAGAATTGGAATACTGTTCATTAAACCAAAGTCACTTACTCACTAGCCACTCACTAATTCTAAGAGAGACAAAATAGAACATCTGACTCCTGATGCACCACGACCCATAAAAAAGTATGTTACCCCCAAGAGCCAATCATCTGTTAGCCTAACAGAATGGAATGCTAACATTTTACAGCTGTACCAGCCTTAACCCACATGAGTGGAGACGAGACTGACTGTGTTTGTTATTAGCAATACATATGCAGTTTGCTACTCCCCACCTTCTCTGTGTTTATCTAGCTGCTCCTGGGAGTTGACCTGTATCTTGCAGAAGCCACAGTATAACATCCCAGTCGCCTTCGTAGGCCCAGCTTCTGCAATAACCAGATATTGGCACATGTACTATTAACATGCATTGACTATCAAGGGTAAATCGACTTTTACCACAGTAGTAAGTACTGCTGGACATGCTCAACTATTTGTGGGAAGTGGGCATCATGAGCGAGTTGCGTTTTATGCTGCTTGTAGCAATATTCCAGCAATATCACGACAGGGGACACCCGAAATGGGCTTCTCACATTGTACCCATGTGAGGAATCAAACCTGGGTCTTCAGCATGATGAGCATATGCTTTAACCAATAGGCTACCCCACCACCCGTGGGCATCATGAACTCTGGGGATGCCAATATTGGTCATTGGTTTTTGGTACTCTATGCTCTTACACAAAATACACAGCTGTCGGACATTTGCACAACACCATTACAGGTGACTACAGCAGCCACCTCACCCTGTAAATAGTGATTTACTTTCACTGTGTCACTCATTCGTATACACTGAAGTGACAATATAACTCTAGTTGACACATCAGTTTCCAAGCAGCAGAAATTACTCAATCTTTGGCTGTTTTTCCTACATATATTATTATAAAAGAATACACAATGGAATTTAGAAAGTGGTTAAATGTAATGCATTTTCTATTTGGGATTACACTTTCCTAGTAAAGTACATATTCTAGTACTTTGCTGGGTTGAGTCCCATCCAGGATTAGAACCCACACCGTCAGAGTCGGCACCTAATTGCCAGCACACAAAGTCAGCCCTCCAACCCCCTCAGCCACTGCAGCTTCAACATGAGATGGGACTCAACCAAACAAACAAGCACAAGAATCTGTCCTTTACTAAGAAAGTGTAATCCCAAATATAACATGTCATATAAAGTCATTCTTCATTATTTGTTTGATTAACTTTAACATGATTCAGTACAAGCTGCATAACATAACAATAGCCTGTGACTGCTAAAAAAATATATGAGGAATTGTGTTCCCCATAACTGAATGTGAAGGTAGCCAAGCCTTACATCTAGTTCACTGAATGTTATAACAAGTTTTGCATAATTATCTCCCTTACCACCCTGGTTTTCTTCTTTAGGTTTCTCTAAGTTGCCATGCACAATCTTCATCCTCTTGAAGTGTTTGCTGCCGCTGTAGTGTTGCTGGGCCTGCACAGTTGAATTGAAGACGATGTTGCACAGAGAACACATCCCTGCTTCTGCCCCATCTGTAGACTTACGCTTTTTCACACTGCCAGGCTATCAGGGAAATAAATCACACCACATCAGCATATGTGATCAAGTGAATATGATTTTATGTCACCTTTTTCTAGTAATGAGCGTAAAGGTTTGTTCCTCCACCTCCCACCATAACTATAGTGAGTGAGTTTAGTTTTACGCCGCTCTCAGCAATATTCCAGCTATATGGCGGCGGTCTGTAAATAATAGAGTCTGGACCAGACAATCAAGTGATTGCATCGATCATGAGAATGAGCATGAGCATCGATCTGCGCAATTGGGAACTGATGACATGTGTCAACCAAGTCAGCGAGCCTGACCACCCGATCCCGTTAGTTGCCTCTCAAGACAAGAATGGGTTACTGAAAGCCAATATTCTAACCTGGAACTTCACGTGTCCCACCATAACTATAAAGCAATACTGACCAAACTGACCAGTAGTTAAAAACATTCATTAGCCCTGATGAACAGGAACTATCCCTTACTACTGCACTTACATTTTTAAACATCTATCTCTATATATGATAAAGTGACGGTTAGAAGTTTAGTCTGTGTTAAATACAGTGGCTTTGATATAGATAAGGCTTCTCTTCCGGGTTTAAACAAGCCGCTATCCCCACGCAGTCATTTTTAGCAAGTATTAGTGCTTGAATGATTACGAATCTGTGTTGTATCAAAGGCAATTACATCTTGGCCTTCTCCTCTACTTGAACATGCTCCATTGTTACTAGTAAGAGAGCCGCCCGGCAATACTGGATGGACACAAACTGCTGCTGTTGTGTTGGCTCACCTCTTGTTCCTGTGAAACTGCACCTACTCCTGGTGTGCTCGTCAGCCCTGGAAACAGTATCAAAGCTGCCTTTTGACAATAATAAACTAAAGTAATCCTTCGGTAACACTACGTATTCTTTATGTAGAACAAACAGTTGAAACACTGTGGGTGACAATTGTGTTGGTGTAACAGTGCAGTATATGACAACTTGTCAGCTTATTGATATGTAACGCCACCTAATGTTGAACCCACCTCCGTGGTGTAGTGGTTAGAGCGTCCGCCCGGAGAGAGGAAGGTCGTGGGTTCGATCCCCGACCGCGTCATACCAAAAGACGTTAAAATATGGTACTTGTTGGTCCCTGCCTGGCGCTCGGCATTAATGGGTACAACAAGGACTGGTCGGCTCGGAGTCAGTATAATGTGTCTGAGTGGGGTATTCATTACTATTCATGCTTCACTGCGGCATGGTATCTTAGTGGGCTAGCACTATAAAACCAGCTTAAGGCTAATACAAGCAGCCGCACATACACATACACACACATGCACGTCGTCATATAAGCGAAATATTCTCAAGCACGACATTAAACCCAATTTCACCTCACCTCACCTAATGTTGAAGAGAATAAAATCTGCCAAAATGCTGATGTCAGAGGCTTTCAAGGGTAAGTCTTACACCATGGTGACCCTAGCTAAGTTTTCAGGAGATTACAGGCTTATGACAGTTCAAAAATCAAATATGATGAAACATTCATCACAGTGACATATTTGCTTGTATAAGGAGGTTTCCCTTGAAGTTGAAACAAATCCACCTCTTTTCGCTCATTTAAGCCACTCTCCCGCATTTTACAAGAAGGGTTCAAATGAGTCCCAATTTTTTACTCAAGTACCTAAGGTATATAATTCAAATCATACTTGATTATCCGATAATAAGAAACTGTTACATATGCTTGTTTGTGTTTTCATAACTGACAGAACAATCAACCGGGTGAAATAAATTATACACATTAAAACTCAACTGTTTCACATTAGCTGAGCAGTACATCTCAACAACGACATATACTATGTTGTGTAGGTTTGCTCTGTTCCTCCTACTGTTGTGTTCCTCTACATTAAAGATTTTAACTTGTACAACTAGCAACAGGATATTTTCTTAAACAACATTTTCCAATGATGGGTATAAAAATAGCAATATTATTTGGTACGGGGTATAAATTGCCATGTACCATACTGACATTTAATAGACAATTCACGATTTGGGTTATTTTGTCATTCATTGTACTCGTTTCATCTCAACTGAACTCACCCTCCACAGGCAGTCCCGCAGCCATCATCTTCTTCTTGTGAGCTTTTCCCTTCATATGCTGCTGCAGCTGTTCCGGGGAATTGACAGTGAGACTGCACACTGTACACGTCGACATTATGCTCCTCAAATCTATAAAATTGGAAAACAAATTATCCTCGTGGAGTCCTACATATGCACAAAGCAATCTTAACACCACAACAATCGTAACTCCCATACTTTAACACAGACCTACAATGGCCATAGCGTTAAGTTTGATTTAACTTTCAATATGTATAAGTTGTAATAGCTGAAAAGAATATTAAAAACATCTGCCTGGACTGACTTGTGATTATTATTCTCATATTTCAGTATCATCATGTTTTAAGGGCTTTTTGATTGCAGGGTGTGTTCTTCAGTGGATAAAATAATCGCCCTATTTTAAACAAATATGTAGGTACTAATTAAATCTGTTTGGATCTTTGTGTTTATGAAATCTGTGACAGGAGACACATGGTAGACAATGGCAGACATGACAGGGTAAGAGTTCCGCCCATAACCCCCGCTTGAAATGTATTCTATTTATTAGGATTATTTTGAGGGTTTAGGGTTAGGTTTGGTTAGATTTTAGGTTAGGTTTAGGGTTAGGGATAGGCTGTTTATAAAAAAACATAGGCATATTTTCTTAAGCATATAATGATTTTAAACAATACAGGGGTTACGGGCGGAATTTTTTTCACCATGACAGTCTTGGTAGACAACGGTACACATGGCAGTCTTGGTAGATAATGGACATGATGGGGACTGTTCCCATGGTAACAGTAATTCAGGTAAAATTATTTTTGCTACCACGAATACAGGACACACACCTAATCTGAATATCCATGATTATGCTATCAAAAATTGTCCTAAAGGATTAAATATTTAATAGCCTGATAATTATGTTATTTGTAGTCTTAGTCTGACATGTCTGTAGATGCTAATGTTGAACAAAATCCACCTCTGAATAAGCTAGAAGCACCGACATCAAATACCATTAGTGGCATCCCGTATTTGCCACTGCAGGACTGACTCGGACTAAACTACAAATGTTACACGGAACGCATTCTAAAATACCAAAAATGGCACCATAAATTCAAGATCTATCAGCCTTGTTTGAAATATCTACGTAATTAAATCTAGAACACAGAAACAGGTTCACACCAACGAACACAAGCACACGATTAGAACAAACAAACAAGAATTATAGCATGTCAGAACGAACCGTAAAAACGTCAGTTTTGGCGTCTTTTGATTAATTTTCTGCGTTATCTCATAGCATGTGTTGATTTCCGGAAGTCAATACCGGCCTCGTTGTAGCGCGGAGATAATGGAGTGCTTCACTGCCATTGGTTCATTTTGTTTTGATTTCCACTGAGTTAAAATTCTAAGTAGCTTTATTGATTAAAATATCAAATCAATAAATTCAGATGGGTGTAGTTTTTTTTAAACATTTAGCGGATTGTTACTTTTCTAAAGAGTCGAGAAGAGGGTTGGAGGACGAAATAAAACAGTATGTTTTATTGAACTGCATGAACACGGGAATTTAGAATATTAAATGTCCTATCATATTGTGTAAATTGAACTAAAAGTATCTTTAAACGATTTGAAAAATAGAAACGGGTAAGTGCTGTTATGAAAACAGCAAGGTTTTGATCGTACATCAGTAAAATAACTTCGACATTTTTTTATAAACCTTTAAGCAAAAATGAGCGAAGAAGATACTGCCCAAAGAAGAAAAATAGACATACACAACTTACAGTTCAAAACTAGGATTAGACTCTCTGAATCGGCCTTAAGCACCTCATGCTGGTAAGAGTAAGTGATTGTACTGATTGCCACTATGACGGCGTCAGTAGGGGTCCTAAAGTAAGGCCAGAAATGATTGGAAAATGCTTTTGGGCTTCAATATCAATATGATGAATTTGACACAAGATAAAAGCACATATATGATACATGTACAACTCTACCTAGTTGGATATTAAAGCTCACATGAAAAAATGCAATTGAGGGGTGACTTCACAGGAGGACATTTTGACGTTTTAACAACATTCGTAAATATTCTAAGTACACACTGTAGTTTTGAAATACAGACGATAATTATTCATATAGCCTCAACTAATTACATAAATGATTGTACCTTTTTTGTTTTTTTTATAACATCTATGTGTGAAAAAGATGGAACTCTTGTAGTAGTTATATTCAAAATAATTACGTAAAAAAGTCTTAATTCAAATCGCATAGATAATCTTGTTGACCCATAGAAGTTTCACTTCGTGTATGAGCATTGAACTGGCAACATGCGACTTGATATCTCTGCAGAACAATTAATTTCAAATTTATACCAGTATTTCATACTGGAGAAACAAAGGGGGAAACCATAGAATGTGTAAAGCCCTTAATTTGACATATAGCCAGGTTTACAAAGTTGTAAACAAATCAGTTACCTCAGGGGTCGTGTCAAAATCAAAACCAGGTAGGAAACACAAACTGGATAGCTTTGATAAGGGTGTCATACGCCGTGCAGTGTATGAACTATATGAACGCAAAATCCCACCGACGTGTGCTAAAATTCAAGATGAGATCAAAGATACAATAAATGTCTCGAAAACAACACTTATTGTAGCTCTGGTAGAAATGGGGTTCAGGTACACCAAAAGGGGAGATGACAGAGCTGTGTTTAGAGAAAAGTACACAATCCTGTCCATCCGATCAGCTTATCTCAGAACAGTTGAAGAATACCGCAATTTGGGGTTTCAAATCATATACCTTGATGAAACTTGGTGTAATAAAAATCACTCAGCCGATCGGATGTGGCTTCCTTCAGATTGTTCTAAGGCACCAGTGTTACCATCAGGCAAAGGTAGACGCCTGATCATCTGGCATGCTGGTACCCGTAGCAAGGGACTGATTGAGGGTTGTGACTTTGTTTTTGAGGCCAAGAAATCTGATGGTGATTACCATAGCGAAATGTATGGGTAGGTATTTTTGGATTGGTTCGAACATCAGCTTTTACCGCAGCTGGACGAACCAAGCGTTATCATTTTGGATAACGCCAGTTACCATAACCTGCGTGTCCCTGGTACCATCACACCCACCATGAGCAATCTCAAGGCTCAGTTGCAGGATTTTCTCACTTCCTGTAACGTGCCTTACGGGCAATCAGAAACAAAGACCCAGCTCATGGAAAAAGTCCGGCAGCACAAAAAGCCAGTCCAGTACATCACTGGCAAACTAGCTGCAAAACAAGGCCACATGGTTCTGCGTACACCAGTATGGCACTGTGAGCTCAATCCCATCGAGCTGATCTGGGGTAAGAATTTTATTGTTCGCAATAATACCACATTCAAGCTTTCAGACGTTAAAAAGCTTGTGTATGCTTCTTTTGCGAGGATTACTCCAGAAGTGTGGCAAAAGGCTGAAGACCGTGACGTTAACGTCAGCCGAGTTGCACCTGTTGTAATTCCGCTAGAGTCCTCGATCAGCAGTGATACTGACACTTGATATTTTGAGACGGTCCCTGACATGTACTGCCCGTGCGTTACATAACGCTGTCACCCTGTCTGCCTGCCAGGTGGGTCACAGTATAGTTTGTTTCTTTAAAGTGCTTCTCCCATGGATTTTGTTCTAAGTTTTTCGATATTTTACGAGTAATCATTATGATTAGGGAATGGTACATCGTGATTACTCATATGCCATATTAGGTCGAGGTGGTATGAATGATTATTTATGAGTTTTTAATCTGAACTATCAACCATTATCAAAAAATTGCCAAAAAGCATTTTCCAAGCATTTCTGATCTTACTTTAGTCAAAATGGCCACAAAAAAGTCATAATGGCCACAAACCCCTAGTCAAAATGGCCATACCAAAAAGTCAAACTGGCCATAGAAAAAGTCAAAACGGCCCTGGTCCTGGATTACAGTTGGAACAATAACGTATGGCCAGTTTGACTTTCTATGGCCATTTTGACTTTTGGGTATGGTCATTTTGACTAGGGGTTGTGGCCATTTTTACTTTTGTGTGTGGCCATTTTGACTAGGGTCAGTGTGGACATTTTTTCGTGTGGACATTTTGACCTGTTCCCGTCAGTAGTTGCCTATGTTGTGGCCACCGATTTTCCTGGCTTGACGAATTGCTTACATGGGTCACTGATAAAGCTGGAAAACATTGCTCATTACTGCAAACAAAGAAGAAGGTTTTCGAACGAAATGCATATGTTATGTTTGAGAGCCCACAGGCCAGCAACTACAAATGGAGAGCCCATCGGTCTACAGCAAACAAGTGGAGAGTCCACCATCATACCATGAACTAACTGAGAGTCCACCGAACTACACAAAATAGTGGAGAGTCCACCGAACTACAGTAAAGAAGTTGTCAGTCCACTGGCCTACAACAAACACTGTGCAGAGAGTCCACAGGCATACACCTGATGAGTGGTTTCACAATTCCACAGCTTCAATTTGGATCCCCTGTTCTACCTTTTTGACTCTATTTAATTCCTAGATGTATGACAATAGACATACTTTGTATTTGAACATTTAATGACGGAACTAGGAAATCAAGAAAAAAGAAGACAGTGTTTTGCGTCTCCGCTACTGAACAGAATGATGGGTAATTCTCAAACACAAAACTGCCGTGACCTCTTTGAGAGGCATTTAGAAGCCGGAGCAGTAATGAAGGATAACACGTGTATGCCTATCAATCTTTATTCTGTTCAGCACTTGCTCGATAACGGCGTTAGAACCTTCACAGAAACGTCGCTCTCACTGTCATAACGTTATTCATCCATATATTGTTACCCTTAAGACAGTAATTGTTACGTTTAAATATCACCTTATAAGAGCTTCACCTGCTTGTTTGTCTGTACCACGCCCGACGAATACACCAAACTGACAACTCTCTAAGGCCTGCATGGCTTTGGACTTTCTCCCCATATGAAACTGACAAGCCGTGATATAACTGGAATTCGGTTCAAAGCGGCATTATATCGAACACCGTCACTCCAGTCACACATGCCATATTATGGATAGAAGCAGTCATACAATCACTTACATCACATGTTTTACCGTGGACGGACATCTGTGCGAGAATCAAGCAATTCTGAGGCTTACAGTTGCCTCTGAAAGCCCTACACCTTATTCCGTTGATTTCATTCAGCTTTTTTTCAGGTTGTAATTATGAGATTCGGTAAATTATGTACAACGAGGACTTTACGGGTCACTGCTACTCCTTCGTCGGTTTCGACAGATTGCCCCGTTGGCAACTCGGCATTCGTTTCTTCATTTCCGGCGTTTAAGGTTTTCAACAATCCCGTTTCCATACGATTAACACTGGAAATAAGGCCTGCGTATATACCGCCGCCATCCACTCGTCACTATTCAAGGCAGCATGATAGCGGTAAAACAAAATGCAAAACACTGTCCAGTATACAATACATTAGACCAACGCTTAGTCCCTGAATATATGTAACAAATAAACTCATTTAAATCGCAAAGGAGCCCAAGTGAGCTGGGATCTAGACTTGCTTCATTTAGAGAGTTAGCATTGCAGGGAAGCTCTAAGGCTAGGCAATGGGGAAAATAATGTGCGTTATGGACTGTGAGACAGACTAACAATACACGTGTGGCGTTATCTGTGTTTCTACGTCAAACGTAAATTACTACAGATGAAGAGATTTAATCAGTAATGTACTACACAATGTGTCCACTCTTCGAGGCAGTTGCCCGTTAAAAGGTTCAAGATCAAGCTTTATTATCGGACGCCCACCGCCCACTGTGACGTCATTTGTGCGTATTTAGATTTTAACAAATACCTCGATATCTTGAATATTTCGGAGAGCCTAGCGCATGCGTTAACTGCAGCAACAAAGTTGTTTAGACACAAAGTTCTGTAAATCGTTATCATATTATATATCTATTTATGATTAATCGATATTTATAAAATGCCTGCCATTCAAACCTGGCAAAGAAATGTCCAGGCCACAGTTCCACACGTTGATTTTAGCCCTAAGACGGGGACAATCATTTATTAAGATGAAGCTAACTGTGAATTCACAGGCAAACAGGTTGATACTTAATCTGGTATACACAATGTAGGAGTGGACAGTCCAACGACGGCTTACAACAGATAAGTTCACTGGCCTACTTTAGTTGTGGCGTTCCCCGCCGTGATATTGCTGGAATATTGCTAAAAGCGGCGTAAAGCCATACTCACTCACTCACTCACTCACTCACTCACTCACTCACTCACTCACTCACTCACTCACTCACCGGTGGCCAACGAAGGGGCATTCTTCCGAGTGTTTTACTG